GACATGGCTAAATCCATTCTGAGCCGATTGGTATATTTTAAGGTGGGTGTAGGACTAATATTTTTGGGTGTTACAAACATCAACACAAACACATAATACCCTACCCACTATAGTGGTATAGGGTATAACAATAAAATTCTGTCTTCTGTGATCTTTTCCCACATTTCAAATGCAAATTGATTTTAGTGCTATTTTATTTTCATACATTTTTTCTCTCTGCCTTGTAAATTATAAATCTTTTAAAACAATATGTTTGTATTTTTTGACTTTTTTAACTCTTAGATTTTGTTAAAATCCCCCCCAAAAAAAAAAAATAGTTTTACAAATTGTCTTAAGCAAATCCCCCAAAAAACTAACAATAAATCGTTTGCCACTAACATATGATAACAGGATAACAAATAATGTAGGACAAGAAGCAGCAGCAAACGTTAAACATGAAGTGAAATAGTCAAGCAACACATGCATTAGAAAAATAAGCTAAAAAGTGATATATTTTTTTCTAACACTCTTGTTAGTAAATTTATATTTTTTTCTAAAAACAGTGTTTTAGATAACAAAAATATTTTTCAAAAATTATATTGCAACAACTGAAGATACTAAGCTATTTAGCAATGACTACTTACTACCATTTGCATTACATGGAAGTAGTTAATTGCTTAAACTTAAATCTATAAAGAAATCATTGTGTCAATCATTATAATTCTCATTTAGTTAATAATATTAAACATTTATTTAGTTAATAATATTTGTTAAAACTAATTATGCGTTTTCAAATCTGCATTACACAACAGATTACAAGGTAATGGGTAATCATAAAATATGTATTTAAATTGTAACTTAAAAAGCTGCAAGATGAATGTTGTTTTCAACCCATAGTGCTGCTTTAAAAAAAATATATACTAAATAATGTTTTTGTGAAAAAACACGACTACTAAACGAAAAACTACACCAGGAAAATGTAATGTTTATTGTAACGACAAAGTCCTTGACATTATGAAACATGTGTTTATTTTCTGTTAAACTTATTCCTTCATTCCAACCATTGTAACATTCTTCTATCCGTCTGTCTGTCTGTCTTTCTGCCTTCCGTTAAGCATTTTCTATGCGTTTGTAAAGTAAGCTCAAAGGATGAACGTTTGCAATTTTTAACAAAATTTATAGTCTGATAAAAAAACAAGAATTCAACAAATAAATCAGTGAGTTAAAAAACTTAAGGGATATAAAGCATAATAAATGTTGACTTTTTTTGTGCTACACTTAACAATGACTGCAATTGTAAATGAAGATGTAATTATTTTAATTAATAATTGTTTAAAATTTATGGTGATTTTTTTGTTGGCAATATTTACAACATAATTGAAATTAACTGTTGTATTTGTTTTATTAATAATTGCAGTATTTTATGTGATTATGTGATTTTTTTAACAATTTAAATTAATTTTTAATAAAGTTATGGAATGATGTAATATTATAATATTTATAATAATTTAAGTGATTACAGTGCTGTAACTAAATTTACATTTATTTTCCAACTAAAATTTTAAATTGAATCTGCTATTTAAACAAGCTGTCAGCTTTAAACTATTATGAAATGACTACAAACACGTCTGTCGTTTTGTTTCTTTCATAAATACTGATATAAAGAAAGTGTCAAATGTAATAAATGTAAATTGGCAGGTAATTTACTTGACCCACACATGTATAACTACAAATACTTTCATACTTACAAGACAATAAGGATAAGGAAATGAAAATCTATAAGTAAAATTTAAGATTTTGCCAAGACAATTTCCTAGAGTTTTAAAAGTAATGGAGTATAGGTATAAAGATACACATGTGTATTTTAATACGATTGACACTTTTGTTAAATGTCTTATAAGATGCCTTAAGGATATTTAAAGATTACTTTCAAACAATATCCCCCCAAACATATTTACATATGTGTATATGTCAGGAACGGGAGGTTGAAGGAATAAGAATGAAAATGAGAATGTGTTTCCGCTCTAAAGGTAATTATAAATTTATGTGATAATGTTTGTATTTTACTGAGAAATATAATTACATATTTGCATATGGGTTTTATTTTCACTTGGAAAAACTCACACTCTCTCAAATACACCCATTAAGGACCAAGAATTTTACAATAACATAAGAAAAATACAAACAACAACTACAATATCTAAAGTATAAATAAGAAAATGATATACCCATCTTTTGGTTGTTAAATTTTGTAATTATCGTTGTTGTCAATTAAACCTATTTACATAATATGTTCAAGACCATGTCGTTGTCTATACATATATACATATGGCATAACCCAACAAACACATACACTTTTAAAAATTCATATTTTCTAATTTAATTTAAAACTCTCATCAAATCTTAAAGAACTTTTCAACAATATAAAATCATTCTTTTCAAATCCTTTAAAATTAGATACTTTTGCTTGCTGGGCATTCAAATAGTACGTACATATGTATGCCTGTATTTGTCCGTTTTTAATAACATATCCGTTGTATTGTAAATATTACATTAAAATAAACCCGTGTTTGTATACCTATTACATGACATGTATTTGCAATTGTTTTTGTTGTTGTTCGTATGTAAATAATATAAAATTTTGTCTTTCTCATCATTATAATCATCATTATTAAAACTGATTTCGAACAAATTATCATGATTATTATTTACTAAGAAATATATGTAAGTGTATGTCTTAAATTTTCTCATTTATTTATTCTTAGATTGTTAATTATTGTAACGGCCAAACATACAAATATTTATCCTTATTAGGGTGGTTCATTATACAGAAACTGAACATTTATATATTGATAATTAAAGCAAAAAACGTGGTAATTACTTGTACTTACTCAACTATCTACTTTTCAATGGCAACTACATACCTTTTGCATTACTTAGAATGAGTCTAGTACTAACTTACAAATAATATAATATGTAAGTACTTACTTTTCAATCTTGACATATTGTTTATGAACTTTGTTTCTAACACAAACGATTTTTTTTTGTGGAAACTAATAACTGACGTAGTGGGCGTAAACTCTTTTTTCTCATAAACAAAACTACTAACTTAACCCGTAGTAAGTACTTATCTAACTCCCTATTTGTAAGCGAGCATGGTAAGTACTTTCCTTTGTTTTTATGAATTGAAAGTTTCAAAATATTCCCATTTAATACGGCTTCTCCCTAATTTCTATTTACTCATGCAACTGTAACATTAAATGACACTTACACACATTATTACTGAAAGTGACAAGTGAGTGTGTGTGTGTGCGTGTACTTTTACACTTACACGTTTACTTACTTTCTTGTATATTTTACCCAAAGGTATAAATTTTAGCCAATACATACATATTTATAATTATATATATAACTGTATTTAAGTTGATTTTGACTTAAATTTGTGGTTTTGGTGCCTAATTAAAATTGATTGTCTTTAAAAGAAAATTTTGCAGGGAAAATATGTTTAAGTTTAAAGTTGATCTGAGAGGCTAATAAAAGGCGCAATAATATAATTCGAAATCGGTATTGAAAGTATAAGAAACTAGTAAAACTTTCCACGTGAAACCTTGACATAAACATTTGTGTGAAAATGGACAGACCAGTAATAGTAGGCGTGGCGACTCTCATATCAAATACCTACTTAAGTACTATTCTACGATTCTAGCTAGAACTACAATTTGGGGCAAATATTCCATTTAGTATTAAAATCCTTTTTCACTCTTACTTAATTTTAAACCAATCGAAGAAAATTTTCTGTCTGTCTGTCTGTCTGTCTTTGTGAATGTACCTTCGAAAGGTCATAATAACATTTGACAGCTTGTCTATTTGTGGCAAAACACATTTAATTGTCATTTTAACCAAACACAGTTTTTACAGCTTCTACTCATTATATGTTTCTTGTTACAATATCCAAAGAGCTATTTATATATGTTGTATCCATTTAATTATACATTTTTGAAACAATTAATGTTTGGTAGGAGTACGAAAGTGTATTTGTATTTAAATGAATAAAATTTTACAAAAGTTACAATCAATACAAAGAGATAGATAAATAACCCTGTAGTTTTTGGGGTTAATCATCGCCGATTACAAAATTACTTATTTGAATAGTTGCTAAGGTGGAATGTAAGTGACTACACTGTTTTATCGATACTACAATGGAATGTGTTCTTATGAAATTAGGGAACTTGTTCCCGAAACCCGCATATTAACAAGTAACCCACGACATTCAGCAAGAGCACACCCATTTGTTATCTATTAGCCAGTGGATCGCACAATGCTCTACAGAGAGAATTCGTTCTTTAGTTGTACTGTCCGTATGTGGAACAAACTTCCCCCAGAAGACTTTACTTCATTTTACTTGCAATGTGGGTTGGTTTAAATTGAATCTCCACAAACACTACTCCCTCTATCCTCCCTCCCATAAACTATTTTCCTAGTACCTAGTTGAGTGCTGGTAAAAAAAGTAGAAAGTGTACTTATAAACTTTCAAAACTGCTGGGTAGTTACAAGCTATGAAAAACAAATTTGTGTGTGTTATTGTTCTTTTGTTGCTGTCATTACTGTTGATTTGTTGTGATGACCATTATTATGTTTTCATAATAATGTTGACAACAACTCATCAACAGCAATAATAATTGTCAACAACAGAACAATAAGCAACAGTTTTCTGTTACTTTTTAATGTGTTTGAGTGTGCACTCGAAAGCAAATGGTTAATTAATAGATTTGATATAAAATTTTATTATTATATCTTTAATATTATCCACAGATGATTTTCTATAAATTAATAACTAAACAGTTATTGGTCTTATAATTATAGCTATAGTCGAGCTGGTTATAGAATACCCGTGTAACCGGTTTTAGTTGTAGTGAGAAAAAATCATTTTGAATTAGTAAACTTTTTTTTTTAATTTAATAAAATTTTTATTTTGTTTCTCTGAAGACATTTTTAATAGCAAAACTTTTGTTTCTTTTTAGGAACTTTGGTTATAAACGGGTTTAATGGTAAGTACTTAAATGTTTGAACTTCAAAAAATCTTCAAATTTGACAAACGTATATAATTTTCAAAAATTAACCAGTTAACAAAATTTTAAATTTAATATAATTAAAAAAAATGTTATTAACTTAAAATACCGGTTTTGAAATTTGTGATTTTAAATACTAAATAATTTTCGAATCAATAACGTAAAACACAAATTTATTGCTTTGCCATAATTACTTTTCAAATGTAATTAAAGCTTTTGTTTAAAGTTTCACCTTAAACAAGTTAAAGAATATTAATTATCATATAGCGTCAGAAGTAACTATAATTAAAATTTAATATTTATATTAAATTTGCAAGAATTTCTTTTGCTTAAATAACATTACAAATTAGGTTCAAGTAAATTTAATAAATACTTAAAACTCTGCATAAAGTATTAACGAGTGAGCGTTAAGAACAAACCCAGCAAACATTTGAGTGATTATAAATTCAAACATTTCAAAACTTTTAAACAAATATTTGTTAAAGTTTGAGAGAAAAAAATATGTATTCTCAAACGTTCACATATTAGATTTCTAAACATAATCAAATTTTAAATTAAACCTCTTAGTGTTTGCGTGGTTAATATGCGAATGTGTTATGTTTGAATGTGTGTTATCTGTCTTATTTGCTGGTATTGGTATTCAGGTCCAATGGTTGGTTACAACATGCTTGGCTGGCTGCATTTCAGGTTCAGGTTTGAACACTTGGTTACATTTCAATATTCGACAAAACCAACTTGTACACACCAGTTGACCTTCACTTTGAATTGAATACAAGAGCTTTTTGAATAAAAAATTTTTATTTTTCAATTTCAAATTTAGACAGGTACAATTTAAAATTAAAAAAAAAAAAAAACAAAAAAACATTTACTGCTGGCAGCCAACATAAATTTAAAATTAAAAAAAATTCACTTAACTTTATAAAGTGTTGTAGAATTTTTTGACTTAACAAATTATATATGTGGCAGTTAATTTGTGTCATAATACGAATTAAATCGTAAGTGAAATGAGGAAGATTTATTGTTAAAACTTGAAAATTGATCTGTTTTTTTTTAAGTTAAATTTTCATCAAGTTTTTTTAAACAACTCCATAATCAATTTGGCGGCCATTTATTTATGAAAACTGCACGATTTTTAGTTTTGCTTTTGTTCTTGTTTAACATTTGTGCTCGATTTTGGTCACGTTTTAATCAGCAGTAGTTGTTTAAAATAATTTATTTCTGTTATCGGCGTTGGTCAGTTGAAAGTATATAAATTTTAAAAAAATATTTACATTGGTTCTAATTGTTCTAAACTAATTTGCATTTTTATGGTTCAGTTAAAGAATTAACTCTTGAGATAATTTTACAATTAACAATTAAATAGAGACAGACTATAGAACTTTGATTCTGAATATCGTATGTGATCAGCTAATAAATAAACCCTTATCTAGCCGGACTCGTTTGTATGACTGTCATACTATATTAATTCTAGTCGCTCTTTCTCTAAATTAACGGGCTCTTCTCTTGTAGTCAGAGAAGTAAATTTCCTCAATATATGTAATTCACTTCTTTGACTATATATATGTATTATAGATCCTTATAGATAGCCGATTCGATTAAGCTATGTCCATTTGTGTATCAGTCCGTCTGGGCTATGTCTGTTGATTTTCGGGATCAAAATCCAAGATATCTTCGGGATCAAAATCTTCAATGGTTCCATCAGAAGTGCTATCGAGAAGTTTTGTATTAATAACTACAATATAGGGACTACTATTTCTAAAGGATTTGTTACATCAGATCAAAGATATCATAGTCTACAGTTAGAAACAAAAACTTTTATTCAGATCTGACGTCAATCTGCTCAATCCTTTAAAAAGGTATATATTGGCCTTTGGGTTAAAAGTCGTTGGTCTGTGTAATCGATGTTTCTGAGAATCTTGATTGTTAATGAAAACTTGCGTTTCGAGCGAAACTCGATTTTAAGTAAAAACAAGTAGGAAAGTATAGCCGGTCATGGCCGACTATAGGATACCCTATATGAGTATATTTTAAAAATTATTTATTTTTCATAAAGAAACTTTTATGTTGAATTTTATCTCAATTCCGATGTGTTTAAGCAATTTATTGATGAAAAACAACATTTCTAAAAGAGACTTTATATGGGAGTTAGGGTCAAATATGGGTCAATCCTTCACAAATTGGGAGGAGGGATGTATTTTTATATAAAGGTTATGCTGAATTTACTAATGGCTATAAGTCAATTTTTGGACGTTTAGGAAATTTTTTAAAGGGGGTTTGTATGGGGGATAAGGTCAAACGACGACCGATCATTATATAAAACTTAGTTGTGCCAATTTTGGAGAGAATAGTAGCATATTTGACGTAGTTATAAGTTAAGACCCCCAAATCGAAAGGTCAGGTTACTGGGGGTCAAATATGGTCCGATCCTCAACAAATTGGGAGGAGGAATGTATTTTTATGTAAAGATTAGTTATGCTATATAAGTCAAACGAGGTCGATCATTATAAAAATAGGCATGGTCATTTATGCCTATATAAAACTTAGTTGTGCCAATTTTCGGAGAGATTGTAGTATATTTGTCGTAGTTATGAGTTAAAACCCCAAATCGAAAGGACGGGTTGTATGGGGGCTAGGTGAAATAATGGACCTATTTTAACCATTTTCAATAGGCATCTTCCTTGTGCCGAAAAATACGTTTCTTGAAAATTGTGGCCTGTAGCTTGCGTACAAAGTCAACCAGCCGGACGGACATGTCTCAACCGACTCAGAAAGTGATTCTGAGTTCATCGGTTTACTTTAAGGTGGGTGTAGTACCAATATTTTTGTACGTTACAAATATCAGCACAAACCTATAATACCCTCCCCACTATAATGGTGTAAGGTAAACAAAGTCGATATTTCCGTCATAATTCCAGTTTAAATTAAATATTCTAAACTGTCAGATTCTTAAAGTAAAATCTTTGTCAATCGGGTTTTTAATAAAAATCTGATTTAAATCGTTTTATTAGTGTCTGTAAACAAATTTTGCGATCTTTATTTTTAAAATATTTTTTTATAAAAAACTATTTTTTAATAAAAACATAGAAACCGGTTTCGAGTAACTATCATTGGAACTTGTTTTATTGGCGATATTTTTTGATTTGGTAACATCAGGGTTCTACAACCGGAAAATATCCCAGAAATTACAGACAGATTAAAAAACTTGAAAAGCACTCGTGTGAAAACATAAAGAACATACAAAATTAATTTGTTCATCACAGATTTGAAAGTGTATAATCAACCACTTTGCTTAAACATTCAAATAATTATTATTTTTTTAGCCAAAAAAAAACTCGTTTATACCCCCAAACACCAACAACATTTAGACTAATTTAGAAATAGAACCTAAATTTATTAAAGCGTATAAATATCTCATGCTCTATGACTTGCAATTTTGTTTTTTTTTTCAAGTTTCAGGGGTACTACGGCAAACAGATCTATTATTTTTATTTTGACGCAACAAATTTTATTCATTTGCATGATAAAAACGATCTTACAAAACACTTTATGATATGAACTAAAATGTTAAAGTATTCTTATGTTAGTTTTCATTAGATATTAGAGTTTCTGGAAAGAACATTATATTTTTAACCATCAACATATGTTTTGTTTGGGACCCAAGATCTTTAATGTTATATGTGGCAGAGCGAATGTGTGTGTGTTTTTAGCAAAAGAAAAAATTTGCTCGCTACCTGTTAAAAACCAGCTGTTTTACTCTCTGTTTACCTGTTATTAAAATTAAACAACAAAAAAAGTGTTCAAGTAACAAACATTTTAAAAACGAGTATTCATGCTCTGGCTGTTGGTAGTATGTACTACGCTAGTACATTATACAAATTCAGCATTTGTATTTTTTAAATGGGATTGTATTGCTTGACTGAAACTAGCTGACAGAGCTAAGCTTAGTTGAAAAACAAACGAGCCATAGAGTGGACGGGCTGACGGACAGACACGCCAATTAAAGCCTAAAAAACAGATATAAAACGGAAAGGAACGGTTACGAAAATTAAATATTTGAAAAAAAAAAAAAATATATAATTAAAATTGACTGAAAGTTGAAAAAAAATTAAGCTTAAAATTTGCAATATTTGTTTGATGAAAGAATAAAAATAACCGCATTAATATTTGACCAGGCTGAAGTTTAATAATAAATGCTAAACGCGTATTAATGCCAAGTTTGTTATTCAAATATTTTAAGAAAGTCTATAACCAACCATAAACAAAATAATAACAATAACCATAAAAATTATTTGCGAAAGTATTTTGGAGTGAAAAAAAGTAAAACAAATTGTTTAAATAAATTTGTTTTCACTCTAAACAAGTGCAAAAAAAGTGGTATTTTTTTTTGGGGAGGATATAAGAATTTTTGTTTAAAAAATAAATATTTTTGAATTTAAAAACATGGATGTAGCTTGGCGTTTTCGTATAATAATCTTCACCGCTTTGGCCTTGATGATATTTGGTGATTTTTTCGGTTATGGTGGCATAATGCGTGGTGTTAAATCTGATCCCAATCAGCAAACTGCGGGGGCTGGCAAATTTCAACAGAAAAATGCCGAAATTGAAATCAGTGAAGGTAAGTGTGTTTTTTTGTTTTATTTATTTTATTTCCTTAAGTTTTAGTTATTAATTATTTTAAGTTTTAAGCCTTTAAAAGTTATAAATAGCAATAAAGCCATAAAATATATCATGTTTTAAAAACTCTTCAATGAACAAAACAATACTGAAGTTATAAACATTTTTCTTGTTTTTACAAAACACTAAACTGCCTTATTCATAAACATTTATCAAAGGTTTATAGTATGCATTTTGTATGATAATTTGATTTATAAACTTTTGATAAAAGTTTATGAATAAGACCCTAAAAATGTATAAATTATTGTTTAAATATAAAACTTTAAAAAGCAGCGCATTAATTTACATATAAATTCGTTTAAAAAAATGAAGTAATCTTTAATTAATTCCATTTATAAAAAAAATCAAAACAAAAATAACACATGATTTAAAAAAAAGAGGTCACCTCATTTTTTTTTTTTATTTTCTATGAAAAGAAGATGACAAAACTCAATTGCATTGCAACTTCAAAATGTTAAAATTTGAATGAAAAATTTCAACAAGTCTTGTTGTTATGTTTGCCATCATTATTATCTAATACCACAATTTGACCACAAAAAAAAATTAAAAAAAAAAATAAAATAAAAATATTATTGCCTCCAGTTAAAACTAAAAAACTTAATCATTTTTAATATGTTGTAATAATATAATTTACTTGTTTTTATGACTGTTTTTTTGTATTTCCTATGCGGCAAGTTATACAACATTCACATCCATTTACCAAGTGTTTGTAGTACAAGTACCTGGTTACCACATACTAGCCACAACTTTTATTGAATCACTCTAAAAACGAATAAGAAATTAAAAAACTTGTATAAACTTCTTTAAGATAAACAAATATTTTTGTTAAAAAAAAGTAAATTTTATTACTTTTATTAACAATTTCTTTAAACAAAAAAACAGCACGATTTGTTTAACAAGTTAAGGTTGCTGGCAGTGGTTGCTACATAATACTGCCATTGCAACTATTAACTATATCTACTACTGTTTTGATTGCTCTTGCTGCTGCTGTTGTATTTTTAAGGTTCATTGAAGGTGAAAGTGAAAAATTATCTTTGTTTTTGTTCATGAAATGAAATTTTATTTATGTTTTATTTATTATTTATATGCCAATGATGTGTAAAATAAGAGAAACGTGATGTCAATGACGGAAAACTTAAAATAACACGCAAAACAAACAGAAAATTTTGTAAATTTGTATTTAACAACTAGTAGTCGTTGTCTTTTACAGCCAAAGGCTAAATAATGTTGTTAATTTGAAAATCCAACAACAGTGTTGTTAATACATAGTAATTTTCAATTGTGTGTAAAAATTTTATTGTTATTAAAGACATAGAGTGGTTATATTGTATTCAAAAGTTGTGGAAATTTCTTGTGCAATTAATTTGAAAAAAGAAAATCTATTATATACAGTAGATTATTTTCTCTTAAGAAACTTAATTATAGCTTAAAATTGTTTGAATTATCATCCAATGTTCAACAATTCAGTTTTTGGAAGATATTTCCTCAAAATTTTCCTATCAGTATTCCTGAGAGATGTAATATCTGCAATAGCATCTCTCACTTTCTAATCTACACAGGATCTATAAACAACTAAATCCATTTGTTCAATTTTGTATAGAATACACAGAGGGGAAAAAGACGTTTTAAAATTATATATGCCTGGTTTGAAATTCACGTTGTCGAAGTATCTACGGATAGTTGTCAAATCAACAACAAAAATATAAAAAATACATGACATTATAAAATGAACCAAACAAAATAATAATGTGTTACCAAAGTGACAACACTATGTTGTCAAACAGAACGTTAAGTTGTCGCAATCATAACGATGCATTGCCGTAAATGACAACAATGCGTTGCTGCAATGATAACGATGCGTTGACAAAATTACAACTGGCTTGTTATTTAAATTTTATACACATCCGTTGTCTAAATATTAACAAACGTGGTAGGCTCACCATCATAATTAAGTTCGAGCTTATTCGATCTGAGCAGGTCAACCAACAATGCGTTGTTGCAATGACAACGATGCGTTGTCGAAATTACAACTGGCTGTTATTTAAATTTTATACACATCCGTTGTCTAAATGTTAACAAACGTGGTAAGCTCACTTTTGACAAAGGATAGTATCAATATCGGTACTTTTCTACCAGGTTCTTCCCTCTGTATGTACGTAAACGTACCATCATAATTAAGTTAGAGCTTATTCGATCTGAGGAGGTCAGCCAACAATGTTACAATAACAACGATGCGTTGTTACAATAACAACGATGCGTTGTCAAAATTACAACGGTGGTTGTCAAAATGATAACTAGCTTTTATTTAAATTTTATACACAACCGTTGTCTAAATGTTAACAAACGTGGTAAGCTCACTTTTGACAACGGATAGTATCAATATCGGTACTTTTCTACCACGTTCTTCCTTCTAACTAAGTTCGAGCTTATTCGATCTGAGGAGGTCTACCAACAATTCGTTGTTACAATAACAACGATGCGTTGTCAAAATTACAACGGGTGTTGTCAAAATGATAACTAGCTTTTATTTAAATTTTATACACAACCGTTGTCTAAATGTTAACAAACGTGGTAAGCTCACTTTTGACAATGGTTTGCATCGATTTCAGTACTTTTCTACCGGATTTTTCCCTCTGTATGTTCGTCTGAGTACTATCATAATTAAGTTTGAGCTTATACGATTTGAGGAGATCAACCAAAGGATTTCATCGTCCTATACACAGTTCCATTACTCACTTTCCTCTACACATGATTTACAATTGGCTAAATCCAGTTGTCAAATTCTGTAGAGTATACATAACATCATAATTAAGTTCGAGTTTATACGATCTGAAAACGCTTCTCGTCATCCTCTTGATAACCCATAGCATTTCGTGGTCCTATCCACTATTCCATTACTAGCTTTACTCTACACTCGACTGAATCCATCATAAATAAGTTCGATCTAAAGAGGCTTCTCGTCCTCCTCTCCTTAGGATCAAACCATAGGACAGAGAAATTCAAACCCCTGTCTAAGTTTGAAAAACCTTTAATATCTCATCTTTTCAATAATTTATTTAAAGTTGTAACATTTTAAAAATGGCAACCTAATCAATTTTTATTACAAATTGATATTAATAAATACCGATTTGTAATAAAACCGGAATGTTTGTTAGAATATTTTAATTAACTTAGAATTCATTTAGTTATTAACTGATAATAACTACTTTTACTACCACCTCAATTGCTTTAAAGGGCAAGTAATTTGTATCATTAGAAAATATTTTAAATTTTTAATGAAATTCCACAAAATAACAAACATTTTTTTCTATAAATACAAATTAAACTGGAATTTTACAAATTTGAAATTCAAATTTCTTTAAAAAAAAACACACATTTATTCCCTGCAATTTATACCTGAACGAAAAGTAACACATTTAAATTATGATGGCAGGTAGTAATTTATATTCTTAACAAAATATTTAGCAACAAATAGAATAATTACTTACTTCTGAGTAAAAATAGATTTATTTAGGAAAATACAAAATTACAAAAAAAAAACTTCCAAATGACAAACGGATTCTATAGCAAATGGATGGTAATTCTAGAAATGTTTGACACCACAATTTATAGGAATTTTTTTAAATTATAATTTAATTAATTAAGATTTTTTTCAATTTGTTGCCAAAACGATTACAGGTTTATTCTACAAAAACATTCCATTATATGAAATTTATAACCCGATTATAATATAACGTCAAACAAAAATTATAAAACGTAATAACAAATCATAAACATGTACGTATTTAAACCATTTATGAGTTGAATGAACGTAATTACACCTTCTAAAAATGTCTATAACTTAAAATCCGGCTTTATTGATCTGTTTTTACAAAAAAAAAACGTTACAATTTCAAAAACAAGCCTGACTAACAGACAGTAATTGTTGAGTTAAATTGAACTTAGTTCAGTTGTTGGTTTTTTTAAACCAGTAATTATACGTTTTAAATTAATGGTTTTAAACATTTGTTTAAGCTTTTTGTTCATACAAATAATTGAAAAAATTTAATTTTTGAATATAGAAAACAATTAGAACAAAATGATTTTTATAAGTATTAGTTGTTTGAATTAATAAATGTCTTAACATATAGTTTTTAGAATTCTGTCTGCTATCTTTTATCAATAAAAGCCCATGTTATGATTGGATTTATGTTCATTTAATTATACATATCTCCCGGAAATGTTGCTAAAGACAATATTTCTCGTTTTCTACTAAAAATTTCATATCGTCATCTCTATTTGTTTGTTTTCAAAACTCTATAGCTTTCGACAACAGGCTGCAGACATGTCTAGAACTTATGCGGAAGTATTGTTTAGAAAAAATATAACAAATTAATTTTATTTAAAAGGAGTGACTGGCTATTCTTTAATTTATAATAGTTTAAGCCAGAGTTCGAAATTTAACCAAAACCTCCTAGCTTAGCATATATTAAAACCAATTACTCATCAACCGGTAAATAAACTCTAAATCAAAACAAATCGAAAAGCATAAACAACTATTCTAAATTTCCTTATAAATAATTCATTACTTTTACTTTTTTTGTTAGACATGTTAAACATAAAAATAATTTTACATAAATTATAAAATTTTAAAAACCAAGAGTTGCTTAAAAGTTGTTAAATTATTTAAATTATAAAGATTTAAACCACAGATGAGCAAAAAAAAAGTAAAAAATAACAAATAAAAATTGGCAACATAAATTTTTTATTTTATTTTTCTCAATACCAGCAAGGTTAAAGGTTTAATGAACTAGTGATTTTTTTTGTTTTTATTTCGAAATGTTAAAATACAAAATAAATTTTAAAATAAAAACCAAAAAAACAGTAGTAAAACAAACAAATCTTTAAAGTAAAATATATAATTCTTATGAAAACAAAAATATTCATAATGAGAATCAATTAAATTAATACCTACGTCAATACTACACGCACGTGTAACTAGTGGAATTTGATATTTAAAGTTAATACACGAGATCATTAAATTGTTTTTATTTTTTTTTACTTTTTTCTCAATAATTCTATTGATGAGATGTTAAGTTAATTAAAACGTGCTGAAAGATAGTAAGTACGTGTTTAATATGCTCGGTTTACAACACAAATATTTCAATATTTTAAAAACTTCTTATCATATTTTAACAAATTCTTTAGCTGTTTAAAATCTCCACAGAGCTATGAACTCATAAATTTCAATTAATCCGTGATAATTTTAAACCTGAATTTTTCAAATTTGTTATTCTCAAATTATTCTCCAGCCTAAAGATAATTGCAGTTTACTAATCTAAAAGTTATTAAATCTTAATTATTCCACTATGTAAAATGTTTTGAAAATTAATTTTCAATTTCCGAAATACTGTGATTTAATTCACAAATAACAGACTTATTGGCGCCTATGTCCACATACTTTCGTGCACATGCTTTAATAATATACTTTGTCATTAAATCAATGTAATTTAGCTTTTTTTTCTTCGTTATTTATTACAACAATATTTACAACAATAAATAGAAAATTGTTCACTCCCTTCAGCTTAGTGATTAGTTTGTCAGCTGGTTTGAGAGCGTAGTGACTATAGCTTAGCATATAGATTAGATTAGCTTAAATTATAGTCCAGACTGTAATCCTTATTATTGCCTAGACTATAGTTCAGACTGTAATCCACACACACACATAGTTCAGAATAAAGTCCACACTATAGTTCAGACTTTAGTCAACATTATAGTATATACTATAGTAAAGACTATAACCTGATCTATAATCAATAGTCCAAGAAATAGTCCAAACTATAGTCCAGGAAATAGTCCATACTATAGTCCAGACTATAGTCCAGATTATAGTCCAGACTATAGTCCAGACAATAGTCCAGACAATAGTCCAGACTATAGTCCAGACAATAGTCCAGACTAAAGTCCAGACTATAGTCCTGTCTATAGTCGAGACTATAGTCGTGGCTATAGTCCAGACTTTAGTCCTGATTATAGTCTAGACTGTAGTCCTGACTATAGTCCAAACTATAGTCCTGACTGTAGTCCTGACTATAGTCTAGACTATAGTCCTGAATATAGTCTGGACTATAGTCCTGACTATAGTCTGCACTATAGCCTATAATCAAGACTATAATCCTGTATAGTTCAGACTTTATTCTAGATTATTGTTCAGACTATAGTTTATACGACAGTCCATACTATAGTTTAGACTATATTCCAGACAATAGTCATGACTATAGTCTATAGTTCAGACTTTATTCTAGATTATAGTTCAGACTATAGTTTATACTACAGTCCATTCTATAGTTTAGACTATATTTCAGACAATAGTCCTGACTTTAGTCTTTACTATAGTCTTGACTATAGTCCATACTATAGTCAAGATTATAATGTTGCTATAGCTTACGCTATAGTAAAAACTATAGTCCAGACTATGGTGTATACTATATATATAATAATCCTGTCCATAATCTTTACAGTAGTCTAGTTCATACAGACTTTAGTTCAGACTATCCTTATTATAGTCCAGACCATAGTTATACCATATGTCAAACAATAATCTAGTAAGAATTCTAGGTTATAGTTTACAATTCAGACTGTTATCCAGACTACTGTTCAGTCTATATTTCCAAATATATTTATAATCAAAACTATAGCTCCTCCTAAAGTTCACACAATAGTTCATTTCGTTTTATTATGAGGTATTCTGATATGTTATAGGGTTTACAAAATGCGATCAATTACATTTAACACTTTTACGTAATCCATTCACATTTACTTTATTATGCGAATATTGCACTTTAAACTTCTCGTAGCTGTCAACAGAAATTTAGTTGTTTTTTTGTATTTAAATAATGAAAAGAAATTTGAGTAATATGTCATAATTTTTTACTATAAACAAAAAAAAAAGTAATTACTAAAGCTATATTTTTTAAAATTCATTGTTTTTTTAATGATATTTTTTTTAAATATACTTTTTATGATTTAAGTGTAGGTACTTAAAAAAAACAATTTTTTTTTTTTCAAAAATTCATTGACAAATGACTTTTTAGAAAAACAAACTTACTTACATAAATACAAACGTAGACTGATATTAATACATTGGCATGTAGATATATAAATACATCTGTTTATTTAGCAAAAAAATGGCTTTTTATTATTTAGTTTATTGTTAATTTAACATTTTACTGAAGGTTAAGAACCACTGTTATAGGCACTTTTTTATTTTTTTTTTTTTTTTTGCTAAATGAACAGCTTAAATAAAATGCTATAATTTATTTCAAGTGATTCAAGTAATTTGTGTGATTTGCCAAGAAATGTATTAAAATTAACATTTAACACTTTGGTGAGCTTTTATATTATTTGTTCTTTTATATTTGAATATACCAATATAAAAGTTAAAAAGTAACGCTTGAAAAATTTTTTGCAAAAAAAATATTTTCCGGGTTCCATTTTTCAAAAAAAAAATAATAATAATAAATTTTATTTTATATACAAAAAAAGAACAAAATTAAATTCAAATTAAAAAGACTCAAAAAAATGATTTTCCATTAAAAATTAAATCAAAATTTTTAAAATTGTTAATTTGAAATACTTGTTCTTAAACATTTCGTTTTTGTTTTTTTCTTTAAAAATTTAGAAAAAAAACTAGTATTTCACTTTTGTAAGAATCCATTTATAAATTTCGTATCTATATGCAAATAACCTTGATTTTTTTTATACAACTCCCTAATTTATTTCTTTGTTTATTTTTATTTTTCATATTTATTTAATTATTACTTATTCATTAGCAAAACTCAAAAAAAAAAAAAAAATTTTTGCTAATTATTCATAAACATTCCTACAAATTATATTTAATTATTTTAAAAACAAAACCTGTATGTTTGAAATTGACGTATTTCAGATGCTGATTTAACTGAATTTTCAACAGCTGCTCTACAACAGAAACGTGTAAAATCCCAGCTGACAGATGCCATTAAAGACTCCTGTCTGCCCAAAATGTTGTGTGAAATGGCCTCAAAACCGGAGTATATGTTAACGGAAAAAGAAAAGGATCTTATGCATCTAATAAGGTAATTATGAATTTAAATTGGCTATATATAAACAAATTAATCTTGTGGCGCCTTTTCAAATTAAATGCAAATTTTTTTCGGTGAATTTCTCACATTCTGTCTGCTTAAATATGACGCATTTTTTACTTTTAACTCATGAATATTCAAAATTTCTTAATAATCTTAAATTATTGTATTATGTTTAGAAAGATTATTATTTATTTTTTAAAAACAATTTTATTTTTTTGTTGGATTTAAACTAGTTTTCTTTTGTTTGTTTAATTATTATGCAAAAATGCAGCCAAAATGTTGTAGCAAACAAACAAATAAATTCTATTTGTTTTGATGATGATAAGCACTTTTTTAACAACGAAAGTGTTAGGAACAAATTCTTAAATTTCGTTTTATAGATGTCAGAGTAATTTATTTAAAAAGTGGTTTAATAAAAACAAGTTTTAATGTTCGATATTAGCAAGAAGTAATAGTAATATTTGTGTTATAATATACCAAACTGGTTACTTAGACACAGTAAAGTATCAAAGCCACTTGTCACCCTCTATCTGTCAAAAAAAATCACTTTGAAACATTTACTATTCTATTCAATATCATCGGGAAATCTATTTTCAATAAAAACTACATTCTTAACGGTTCATTTTCATAAAAATTTATATTTTATGTTTTTAAACGTTCTTAAATATTTAATGTATAATAATAATATTTTTATTATTTTGCAAAATATTCGCAATTATATTTTATTAGTGTTGTTGTTGCTTTTGTTTCCATTTCACTGATTTTCTAATACAAAATGATTACAGTAATTTAAAAATTTTTATATTCATAACCTCGCACTTGACTTGAAGGCAATTTGTTTAGAACAAACGAATAGTCATTTCATTTTTTTATAATTATACTCGAAAACTTTATAGAAAATAACAACACTTTTAGAATAATAAACTTGAATTCCAAGTGCTTTTATTCTAAAATAAGAAGAAATACACTAAGAGGAAATAGATAGATAGATAGATAGATAGATAGATAGATAGATAGATAGATAGATAGATAGATAGATAGATAGATAGATAGATAGATAGATAGATAGATAGATAGATAGATAGATAGATAGATAGATAGATAGATAGATAGATAGATAGATAGATAGATAGATAGATAGATAGATAGATAGATAGATAGATAGATAGATAGATAGATAGATAGATAGATAGATAGATAGATAGATAGATAGATAGATAGATAGATAGATAGATAGATAACAGACAGACAGATAGACAGACAGACAGATAAACAGACAGACAGATAGGCAGACAGACAGACAGACAGACAGACAGACAGACAGATAGATAGATAGATAGATAGATAGATAGATAGATAGATAGATAGATAGATAGATAGATAGATAGATAGATAGATAGATAGATAGATATATAGATAGATAGATAGATAGATAGATAGATAGATAGATAGATAGATAGATAGATAGATAGATAGATAGATAGATAGATAGATAGATAGATAGATAGATAGATAGATAGATAGATAGATAGATAGATAGATAGATAGATAGATAGATAGATAGATAGATAGATAGATAGATAGATAGATAGATAGATAGATAGATAGATAGATAGATAGATAGTAGTAAAAAAGATTAAATTATAAATAAAATTTTAAAGTTAGACCTATTTTCTCAGTGTATAAAATAATTACCTGATAAAATTGTTTAGTAGTTTATTTTAATTTTTTTTATTATATTATATACATTTTTCAAAAACTAGTTTATATTAAAGCACAACAATACAGATTTTGTTTCTAAGCAAATAAAGGAAATTTAATTTATATTTGGTTTGAAAACCAAGGCCACTATTAAACTGTTTAAATATTTGCTTACAGTTGCCATCTGTCTCTCAGTTTGTTTAATTGTTTATTTACATTTAATAATAAAAAATCTGTGTTTGTTTTTTTTTTTTTTTTTTATATTTTTTTGCAGATCTTCGTCCATGTCTTTGGCTATGAATGGTGCTCCCAGTAAATGGCATTTTGCCGCTCACATGGGAGAACTTTTGCGTTATACTGGCGATGAATTAAGTGGACCAATGGGTTGTGCCAATTTATGGCCAAATTGTCCTATTAGTTCTAAGAAATTAATGAAATTGTCCTACAAAGTGAAACTTTAAAAATTTTGTTAAAGAAAACTAAAAATGTGATTTTATAGGAAAATTAAAAATTAAAAATTCTTTAAATTATTGCCAAGATCTTGAAAATTTAAACGTATAAATAATTTTGTTTTAAATTAAAACCTAATTTTTAAAGTTTCCTATATTTAATAATTTATGTTTAATTTTTATTACTATTTTAAAACTTTTTTATAAATTTGGCTTTTGTATTTATTTTTTTTTTAATTGCTTGTGTAAATATTTTTAAGCTTTATGTATAGTTTAGTATACGTTTTTAAAACAATAAATTTTTTGTTTTAAATGTTTTAAGACTTATTTTAAAAAGTAATATTTGTATGTATAATAGTAATACTTTAGTTGACAAAAAAAAAAAAAAAAAAAACTTGTGTTTTTTTTATAATGAGAAACTTGTATACTAACTAGTCTGTAATTTTTTTCTATCTATAATTTAAGCATAGTTTTGTTTAGTTTATTTTTAAGTTTATGTAAATTATTTGAGACTTTTTTTTGCGCTAACAAAAGAAAATATATTTTGTTAAGTAGTTTTGTAAATACGAGTGAGAATTTATATACAAACAAAAAAATTAATAAAATGAGCTTTTTTCGAAAACCCAATAGGAATTTTATTTGTTAAAATATTCAAAATAAAAAATTGCTGTGAAATTTAATAAGAAAATTAATGTGTTAATATTTTCTAATTATATTTAACAACATTTTTTATTATTTGATTAATTATTGATGAACTGAAAATATTTTTCGTTTTGAGACCACACGGTAAACTAGACTTCAATCCAGACCTAACAGTAGCCTATGATTTAAACTGTAGTCTAGTCTACAGTCGAGATTATAATACTAGAATATTGTTAAGACTATAAACCAAATTATAGACTAGACTGTATTCCAGACTATAGACTAAACTACTATTAGCCAAACTACTATTGTCCAAACTATGGGTTTTTGTCCCGACTATATTCATACTATAAACTAGACTATAGCCCAGACTGTGCTAAAGACTATAGCCCAGACTATAGACTTAACTACTGTTCTTATTATAGACTAGACTATAGTCTACCGTCCATTCTACAGACTAGCCTATAGCACCAACTCTACACTGGGCTATATTTCTATATAGACAATGCTATAGTCCTGACTATAGTCTACAGACCTTAGACTGGACTATAGTCCATATAATAGATTACTCTATAGTCCAGACTATAGACTAGACCACTGTGTAAAATATAGGCTAGACAGTAGTCCAGAATATAGTCTAGTCTATAGTCTAGTCTATAGTCTAGTCTATAGTCTAGTCTATAGTCTAGTCTATAGTCTAGTCTATAGTCTAGTCTATAGTCTAGTCTATAGTCTAGTCTATAGTCTAGTCTATAGTCTAGTCTATAGTCTAGTCTATAGTCTAGTCTATAGTCTAGTCTATAGTCTAGTCTATAGTCTAGTCTATAGTCTAGTCTATAGTCTAGTCTATAGTCTAGTCTATAGTCTAGTCTATAGTCTAGTCTATAGTCTAGTCTATAGTCTAGTCTATAGTCTAGTCTAGTTTAGTCTATAGTCTAGTCTATAGTCTAGTCTATAGTTTAGTCTATAGTCTAGTCTATAGTCTAGTCTATAGTCTAGTCTATAGTCTAGTCTATAGTCTAGTCTATAGTCTAGTCTATAGTCTAGTCTATAGTCTAGTCTATAGTCTAGTCTATAGTCTAGTCTATAGTCTAGTCTATAGTCTAGTCTATAGTCTAGTCTATAGTCTAGTCTATAGTCTAGTCTATAGTCTAGTCTATAGTCTAGTCTATAGTCTAGTCTATAGTCTAGTCTATAGTCTAGTCTATAGTCTAGTCTATAGTCTAGTCTATAGTCTAGTCTATAGTCTAGTCTATAGTCTAGTCTATAGTCTAGTCTATAGTCTAGTCTATAGTCTAGTCTATAGTCTAGTCTATAGTCTAGTCTATAGTCTAGTCTATAGTCTAGTCTATAGTCTAGTCTATAGTCTAGTCTATAGTCTAGTCTAGTCTAGTCTATAGTCTAGTCTAGTCTATAGTCTAGTCTAGTCTAGTCTAGTCTATAGTCTAGTCTAGTCTATAGTCTAGTCTATAGTCTATAGTCTAGTCTATAGTCTAGTCTAGTCTATAGTCTAGTCTAGTCTATAGTCTAGTCTAGTCTAGTCTATAGTCTAGTCTAGTCTAGTCTAGTCTATAGTCTAGTCTATAGTCTAGTCTAGTCTAGTCTATAGTCTAGTCTAGACTACAATTCAGATCACGTTAATGAAACTGCGTGCATGTCCTCTGCTAAATGTTTCCTGAGTAAAAAGCCAATAACAATTCACCCAATAATAGCATGCTTTCTTAACAACTTGTGACTAATAAATAACTCTTACTCATTGAGAAATATTTAAACAGTTTTGATCTTTGTATTTCAATTAATTATTATTAATTACTTTAATAATAACTAAATTATTTGTAATTTAAGGTTATTTAGATTGCCCAACTGGTTGCAAAATGTAAAAGTACGATTTATGTTCATCTTGTCAATCATTTAAACTGAAAGTGAAGTTAATTACTTTAATTATTTTACCAATTAAATATCAAATAACTTTGTTTTAAACCTGATTTCTAGTCAATCTGGCCAGTATCCGGCTGATATGATATATAGGGCATAACGTGTTAAATTATTTTGCAATAATTTTATTTAATAACCAGTTGATGGTTTTAGGTTTTTTTTTCATATAATTTTCAATATTGCTATTTAATTAAATTATACCAAAGCGCCCTATAGTTTTGATTATTTACATAAATTTACATATAATTATAGAATTATTTCAACTGTCAGCAAATCAGTTAGAAACAGCAATTGTGTTGACCGGCAATTATTTATTATCTATATGAAATAATAGTTTAGAAAACATGCTAAACATGAAATTTATTTATAATAGTTTCTAGAACACGTAGAACACAAGATAATAACTTCCTATTAGTCTATAACAAATTAATTTAGAAAAAAAAATTCAAATTACAATAAATTGGGTAACTTGGTCAAAACAAGTAGAGTGCATAAATTAAATTAAAATGTTATATTTTAATCAAATTATTTTAATGTAATTTTTATTTAAATAACATAGATTAAAAAACTGGTTTAAACAAAATAATTACACTACATATTGTGGGTTCAGACAGTCATTTATTTGTATATACATAGTTACAAATCAATATGTTTCTTTAATTTTACCAACATATAAAGCATACTTTAAGGGAGTTGAACTGTAAGTAAAAGCATTTTTGTCTCTTTAGTTAACGATCTTCAAACTGCTTAAATAGTTTCTATAATTTTGTTTAGCAGCATATAAATTGTCATTTCCTTAATAACTACGTTTTTTTATATATTTAATAAAAATTTATATTTTTGCCTTTTACTGCATTCCTAGTTATTGTAATTTTTAAGTGTAAATTATGAAACTTTAAATTTAAAAAGTTATATATTGTAGTAATAATAAAAAGACTTAAAAACACTCTTACTAGGAAGCGTATTATCACATCATATTTTAAACCACTTGTTGCTGCCAGTCTACTTCTATTTAATCACGTAGACAGACAAATTCAAGACACCTTTTATAGCTATAGACTATTTCTTCCACCACAACCAAACACAATAGAAAAAACTATTTAAAAAAATAAAGAAAAACAACATTGCCAACTTAATGCATTATGTAACCATGATCAAATACACTCGCATACACATGTAGTTTATTTGCAATAATTGTCTGCAAGACTTGGATAGTTAGCAAGCACAAATAGCTGTGAGAGAAGAGTTGCCATGGCTGATATTAATGTAGACATTTAGGTATAAACAAATTTTTATGAAGAGAAAATTGATGGAAAATTGACTTTTGAGAAAACATATTTATAAAAGGATTGAAAAGTAAATTTCTATATAGAAAATATTTAATCGAAAATTTTCTATAAAGATAAAAAGAAAATCGTTATCAAAAATGTTCTATAAAAAAATGTAGCAAAATGAGGAAATTATATGGAAAATATTCTATAAAGAGAAAATTTTATCTACAAAGTGAAAATTTTATCGAAATTTTATTAAAAGTTTTCTATAAAGAGAAAATTTTATGCAAAACTTTCTATAAAGAGAAACGTTTATCGAAAATTTTCTATAAAGAAAAAGTTTTATCGAAAAATTTCTATAAAGAGAAAATTTTATCGAAAGTTTTCTATAAAGAGAACATTTTTTAGAAAAGTTTTTATAAAGAGAAAGTTTTAACGAAAATTTTTCATAAAGAGAAAATTTTATCGAAAGTTAAATTAAAAGTTTTCTAAAAAGAGAAAATATTCTATAAAGAGAAACTTTTATCGAAAATTTTCTATAAAGCGAAAAGTTTTTATCAAGAGAAAATTTTATTGAACGTTTTCTATGAAGAGACAATTTTATGGAAAAATTTCTATGAAGTGAAACTTTTATCAAAAATTTTTTTAAAGAGAAACTTTTATCGAAAAGTTTCTATATAGAGAAAATTTTATTGAAAATTTTAAATAAAGAGAACATTTTCTATAAAGAGAATCTTTTAATGATTTTTTTTAATGATAATTTTTTCTATTAAGAAAAGTTTGATTGAAAATTTTTTATAAAAAGAAAATTTCTCTAAAGAGAACATTTTATCGGAAATTTTCTAGAAAGAGAAAATTTTATCGAAATTTTATTAAATGTTTTCTATAAATTTTCTATACAGAGAAAGGTTTAACGAAAATTTTCTATATAAAGAAGTTTTATCGGAAAATTTCTATAAAGAGAAACTTTTAATGAATATTTTCTTTAAAGAAAAATTTTATTCAAAATTTTGTATAAAAAGAAATTTTCTGTAAAGAGAACATTTTATCGAAAATGTCATCCAGAATTTTCTATAAAGTTTTGTATAAAGAGAATATTTTATCGAAAAATTTCTATTAACAGAATATTTTAACGAAAATTGTCTATAAAGAGAAACTTTTATCGAAAATATTCTATAAAGAGAAACTTTTATCGAAAATATTCTATAAAGAGAAAATTTTAATGAAAATTTTCTATAAAGTGAAAATTTTAATGAAAATTTTCTATAAGGAGAAAATTTTATCGAAAATTTTCTATAAAGAGAAAATTTTATCGAAAATTTTCTATAAAGAGAGAATTTTACCGAAAATTTTCTATAAAGAGAGAATTTTATCGAAAATTTTCTATAAAGAGAGAATTTTATCGAAAATTTTCTATAAAGAGAGAATTTTATCGAAAATTTTCTATAAAGAGAAAATTTTATCGAAAATTTTCTATAAAGAGAAAATTTTATCGAAAATTTTCTATAAAGAGAACATTTTATCGAAAATTTTCTATAAAGAGAACATTTTATCGAAAATTTTCTATAAAGAGAAAATTTTATCGAAAATTTTCTATAAAGAGAACATTTTATCGAAAATTTTCTATAAAGAGAACATTTTATCGAAAATTTTCTATAAAGAGAACATTTTATCGAAAATTTTCTATAAAGAGAACATTTTATCTAAACTTTTCTATAAAGAGAAGATTTTATCAAAATTTTCCTATAAAAATTTTCATTAAAGAGAAC